AAAGGATGGAGAATTGCTCCCTTGCTCGTAGGTTCACCCCACTGGTGTCACTTCAACATTGAAAAGTCTAGGTCTTTCCTTTTTCTCCTTTCCTTATACAAGTACAGAAGATCTCAATTAGCCCATTGAAAAGGCAGAATATGCCAATAAAAGTTACTTTGAAAGAATATGATGCATATGATAAATAATCTTCCTATTTAAAGTTAAAAAAAAAGGAATCCATGCATTTATTACCAGTAATTCTTCATTACAATTAAGGCAAAAGGCTAGTGCACGGGGTTAGAAACTTAACTCCAAACAGTCTTTGGGGTAAAACGGCTCATATAGCAGCTTGCAAAGCTCTTGGTTTGGCATTAAGAGGAAGCGCCTGTGCTCTAAGAAGCCCCATTTAATTGGCTTTAAAAGCTTTCCGCCCTCAAATCTCTGGCCCTCAGGCACTTGCTCAGGAGACGCGGCGTCTTGAGTGAGGTCGGCTCAAGAGACGACTCCACTCTGTGTGTTTTGATCATGAGAGGCTTTGGGTGTGGATGTGAATGTGTGTCTGTTCGGTAGAGGAAGAGGTTTAACTAATGGGGACTGGATGGAGACCATCAGTGATTTTCTTTTTCTCTGTTTATGAATGGACCAGTGAATGTAATGTTCAAAACACCGTTTCAAAATGAGGGAAAAACATGAGTAATCATAAGAAGAAGGGATTGTCACATGCATTAGGTGTGTGTTCGTGCCCTTCTCCATTAGAGCTTTTCTTTTCTTCTGCCTCCATCTCTTATGGATGTTATAAGGACTGTGTCTCCTTAAGACCTGAGATGAAACGTCAAACATTTGATCATTAGTGAACCACATTCTTTTTTTCCTTTTCTGTCTGAATCAATCACCTTGTCCTTCACACCAGGACTCCTTTAGGAGCACAACAAAATCCAAAGATCCCCAGCTAAGCCTTTTTCAACCCTTTCTTTGTGTCGTTTCCTTCTCAAACATTTTGGTAATCAGTTTTTGATTAGGGTTCTTTTGCAGATGTGTGTGTGTAAGGAAGAAGCAGCTGAAAATGTAACAAATTGGTACCAACCCTCTTTATTTGAATAACTTGTTGCACCATGACTGGAAAAGTTATATTGCTTCCTTTAAAATAACTTTATTGATTAATGTTCACTTTTGTTCTTTTCGTTTTATTAAATTTATGCAACACTAAGCTTTTTTCCCTCTATTTTGTTGGAGGTTGACACACATCCTGGAACAATAAAGGATCTTCTGATAGATTTTAATGTGACCAATTCACCATTGTCTCTGTTTCAAAGCATTCAGAAAATTAAAAATAATGACCCAGCATCACTTTTTCTGAGGTTTTGTGCGGTATAGCATGCAATTTATCTAAGCTACATTCTATGGCACCTGCAGAACATGTGAACATTTTCAGTGGGTTGTCCAACATGACAAAAGCCCCATTTACACTACACTCTGAAAACAGATCCTCTCTCGGTCCGAACTTTCCATTCGGACCGACCTTGGACCTGTTAACGATGCTGAGCTTGGTTCCTTACGGCCGTTTACACATCACGTTAGCATGGTTCCTTACCTCCTAGTGACAATCTACGGTACTACTCTCTGGTAGGAAAACTTAGTGATTATGTTTTGTTCCGTCCAACATCACCTGGATAGCCTTCTCCTCCTCCGAGTCAGCTGACTGTAAATAGGAGATGCTCATGCGCTCTTTGTTATCTGAGAACCAAGCCTCAACTGAACCGCGGTGAGCTCTACTGTTGAACTAGTACCAGTTTAGCACGGTTCAGTTGTGTCTAGCACAGTCCGGTTTAGTTTGCGTGCCATTTACACTAAACAGTTGCCTCGGTTACCGTGCTCGGACTAATCTCAGCATGGTTTCAAAAGGGTATTGTAAATGGGGCTATAGAGACTGTATAATTATCTAATTTCAGGCTAAAATACCAATTCCATTGTTATATCTTTTTACCTGCTCAGATGAACTCTAATTGCACTTATTTCACAATTTTAAATGAGTTTTTTAAAGTTGAAATATTGCAATAATTTATTATGCACTATTGGATCTTAAGAAAATGGTGGCCGACAGGTGAAGAGCAGTAAACGAAGAAACGAGCTGCAAAAACACGTGTGATGCAAACTCCAAAACACTTAGCGCTTAAAACAAATGCAAAAGAAAAATCCTGCAAACAAGAAAGAGCTGCAAACAGGTGAAAATTTGCAGCAAACAGACAGAAGAAGGAACAAACAATGCTGATATCACTAAAAATAGAAGCAAAAACCTAAAAAAAAAAAAATGTAAACAGAAAAAACAGTGACCACAAAAAACATGCTGCAAGCAAAAGCAACATGCTGCAATCACAGCAAGAAAATGATGCATAAAACAGCAGCAAACTCGCTGTTTTTACTATTTGGATTATGTTTCTCTCTGTGGTTGCTGCATTTTGTTTTTGTTTGCTGTATTTTTTGTTTGCATTTGTGTTGTTTGTAAGTTTTTGCTTTTATTTATAGTTTGAAGCATTTTCTTTTTGCTGTATTTTTTGTGTATTTTGGAGTTTGCATTTAATATGTTTTGCAGGTCATGTCTTAATTTACTGCATGTTTTCACCTGCTTGCAGCTCATTTAGTTTTTGCTTGCAGCGTTTTTGGGTTTTTTTTGCATTTGTTTTTGTGCTTGTGTGATTTGCTTTGCACATGTTTTTGCAGCTAGTTTTGTCGTTTACTGGGCATTTGCACCTCTCGGCCACAGTATAAGAAAGATCTAAATAGAGTTTCACTGTGCTACAAGAGTAAACAAGACAAAAAGGCAAGACCTGTTGAGCTAGTAATATTGGCTGTTCATCATCTGATCAAGAGTTGAAGATCTTGGCCGTCCACAGCAGTAATTCATATGATAAAAATAACATTTCCTTCATACACCCCTTTGCAAATTCTCAGTATTAAGCACATGGGCTTCCATGTGCTTAAAAACTATGAAGAAATTTAATGGAAGCTAACTTTTTGTGTAGATCTTGATCTTGTAAAGGTTGTGCTCTTAAACGTTTAATCAGATTACGAAAATCTTATTTTAGTTAGCTGTTCTTTAAACAAAAACCTGCATAAAAGTTTTTTATGTCACTTGTTTCCATTCTTAAAAATCCTTGCAGATTTTTATTTGGTTTTAAGATTTTGATCAGGACTGTATATCTTACATATATATACTGTATATCAATTACTAAGAGATACTGTATATCAATGACTAAGAGGTTTAGTCGCTATGAAAAGTAGCCGTGATTCTTGCTAAGCTATGTGGATGCTCTGTCTGCAATGATAAAGATAGACTCATCTTGATTTGCTGATTCTTGAATATCAGGGAGGGTTGTCTTATAATTGACTTAACATGTCTTTTTGAATTTCCAAAAAATATAAACTGTAAACATAGTACAAAAGAACTTTAGTAGATATTGGACTAAATAACTTTAACAATAATTCAGGAAACCATTTTAAATAAATAAATAAAAAAAAGCTTCAGCAATTATTGTTAGAGTTTAAGCCCCAAAAAGATTTTTTGGTCATTTTGCTAAATTCAAGCCCAGTTCTAATTTTTATTAGGTGGAAAAAAAAACTATATGGCCAAATTTGTGTACTTATTTACTTACACTAGAACAACTTTTCACAAATTTAAAGAAAATAAATGCTTCAACCTGTATTCAAAATAAAAACTTCCAAGATGGTAACTCTCCTCCATTAACCAAAGTTTTTTTTGCTGGAAGTCAGACAAGTCTTTGACAATTGATGTGGGCCGTAAATATCCAACTGTGCCGGGTTTAGCTTTGCTGCAAAAATATGTTGTTGTGTTTTTTTTTTTTTTTTATAACTCCTTTTTTTATTATTATTTTCACATGCTGTTTACACATGCTGTGCAAATGATGAAAAATTGCTTTGTAGAAAAGGAGAAAGCGAGGGGAATCATTCTCCTCGAGGGTGGAAAAACAGCCCCCCTTCCTCCTCTCCTCCATCCCTAAAAATATGCATCGAGAGGTGAGAAAGAGAAGAAGCAGTTGCTGTCGTGGCTTGGCTGCGTTTGTGCAGGAAGAAACAGAATAGTTGGAAAAAAAAAACGAGAGGTGCACCAGAAATAAAAGAAGATAGAGGGAGCGGTGACAAACGGCTCCTTCCTTCCTGCCGACGCTGAGAGCAGTGTACTCTGCATCCCCTCCCTCCGCTGATTAGGCCCGTATTGATTTGAGGCGTGTTTGTGGGGGGGAGGCGAGGAGGACTGGGCGGGAGGGAAAAGAGGGAGATGAGAGGGGAGGAGAGGAGGAGACGGCAGTGGGGGCTCGGTAATTGTACACTAGATGCTCCTCTTTGTTGGCGGGGGGGACAAGAGGGAGGAGGAGGAAGGGAGTGCTAATAGGAGGAGAGAAGAAGAGCTCCTGATGGGAGCAGGGCTCAGACACATCTAGATGGGAGTAGAGGGAGACTGGAGCAGATGGAGAAGTGAACATTTTTCAGGGGGGAGTAAGTAGAAGGCAGAAAAACTAAAAAATACATGATTTAGCCATAACGTCACCTGACATGAACTTCACAGGAAGAAAAGAGGGATGATGCGCTGCACATTAGTTAGGTCAGACTTTGTTCCAACATCTGGAAAAAAGTGGAGAAGAAGATAGGTGATAAAAGTTCAGTAAGCACTGATGGATAGAGACATTGGAGAAAAAAGAGGGAACCAGAGCCCTTCTTCTAGCCTCAAACAGAGCAACACACGTGTGAATTAGCTGGAGAGATCTGTCATCCTCAGCGATATAGGCTTTCCTCCTCATCACTGACAGAACAGGCACATCTCCAGCTGCCCGTGGCTTGCTTCACCTCCTCCATTTCTCTTTCTCTCCAACCATCACTTTCTTCTTTGCATTTCCACAGCAGCAGACGTGTATGCAGGTACACAACAGAGCAGAGTATCAACATCAAGAGCGCTCTTTTGTCTTCTTTTCCCCCTGACTTCTCTCTCTGTCTTCCATTGACAGACGACCTTCTAGGCAAAAGGAGAAGCTTCTCCCCAAACAGCAGCAGCGAGTGTCCCTCTGATAGCAAGAAGTCCCGCAGCGTCTCTCCAAAAGGTAAGATTTATATGTCATGAAACAAAAGTAAATGTTCCCCAGTGGTGCAGCATAAAAAGTTTACTTAGACTTGTTATTCGTGAAAGGCAATAGGTGGTTATAGGAAAAAGGACAGAATAAAAGTATGATCAAGATTGGGGCGTTTTGTGTTACAGCACTTTAGGGAGGTGCGCAGAGCATGTCTACTGTGTGATGCTCCTTCCTGTTGTAAAGGGCAATATATGAAATGGAAATCAACATGCAGCAGCTACATGATCTAAATATTAATATGCCCCTCTCTGCATCATTGGATATTTACAAATATGAGAAAAAAACACCAGTTTATCATGAAGTCAAACTGAAAAAGATGAATGACAAAGTTATTTCGTTTTTTCATGGGATGCTTTACTGAATGCTGCATCACAAAATTTGTATTTTTTTTTATAGATGAAGTAAAATCTTTGTCCAATTGTTTAGAGAAAGAACTCTGATTAACTGTTAGGTGATTTGTTTTTATACATATTTCATTTACTTTGTTCTAGAACCCTTTAAAGATGGCTGTTATCTGTTATTAGAACAGGAGCAGAGGTGAAGTCACACTGTGTGAGAGATTAGGTGTTGTTAAACTGCAGTTAAACAGGTATTCACTACTTTTCCAAAACTACAATACATTTTAAGAGCTGCCATCTTGAGCCCTTTAGCTCCTTATATTAATAACACAATAAGTGCAGTTAGATAAAATAACTGTAAACAATACTTTAGTCCCTGTCTTCATTGTTCTCTAACTTCTCTTCAAATCTATTATATTCCATGAGACATTTGCCGCATTTACAATACCCTTTTTAAACAGTGCTAAAATCGGTCCAAGCTCAGTAACAGAGATAACTGTTGAGTGTTAATGGGACGCAAACTGAACTGGACCGTGTCAGACAAAACCAAATCGCGCTTACCTTGTGCTATTTCAGCAGTAGGGCTCGGCGCGGTTCAGTTCTGGCTCGTTTCTCAGATAACAAAGCCTGCATGAGCAAACCGCGTCATCTCCTTACAGTCAGCCTCCTTATTAATAATGAGATTTCCGACATTCATAAAAATACTAGCCTCCCCCGTGCCACGCGATTTCCAATGATGACTGCTTAGCAATATGAAGAACCACGTCTGTTGTTTCCTGCATCTGTAAGCCCTGATTAGATTACCGTTTGTCATATCCACTTCAAGAATCAGAATCAGAAATACTTTAATAATCCCAGAGGAAAATTACTTTTGTTACACGCTCCAGTTACAGTTTTTTATATATATATATATATATATATATACATATATATATATAATATCACAATAATAACCAAACTTTCTGAATGTTACGGGCACCGTACCGTAACAGTACCGTAAATCGTCACTAGGAGGTGAGGAACCGTGCTAGCGTGATGTGTAAATGCTCGGCAAGGTTAACTGATACAAGCTTGGTCCGAACTCACAGATCGGTTTTAGAGGGGTAGTGTAAGTAGGGCTTTAAATGCTACAAAGAGCTAAAACAACAGCTTAGCTCCATGAGATTGAGCCTGCAGTCTGCAGAGGTCTACCTCCATAAAAATACAATCTACTTTCTAGAAGCATCTTACATCATTTGTTCTTCTGAGTTTCTTATCATTGATACTGAATACAGCTAATCTTCTTCTTGCAGTGACATTGTCCAGGGCCAAGAGTTGTTAGAGCTAATGAGTCCATTCACTGATTGGAACAAAAGTAAAGATCAGATTTTTTTGCTACTGATCTGCCGATGCTGGCCGGTTCAGCAGATTTCTCAGTAAACATCAACCTTATTTTCCTTTTTAATCCTCTCATTCTCCCCTGTTTCAAATCAATCAATGTTGATTGCACAGATGTAAAAAAAAAAAATAGATCCCTCTGAAATACTGGCTGTTGAATTTTTCATCATTTTGGACTGTCTTTGATTTTTCTGCCTCCCAACACTTCAATACGATACTCTTTTGGAGATAAATACATGTGCAAACTCCCTCTAAACCTTTTTGTAGCTTTTCTTCTAAAGTGGATTTACAGATTCAGTGTTTTACTTTTTTTAATACCACAACTTTCCACGAAAGACAAATGAACAGTTTTGTTTTGCCACATTTTAGTGCCAGTTTAAAATACCACTGCATCTGTGGTCATTACAACCATCTCACCTTGGTTAAGCTACAACCACTGTGTACTGCTGCAGCTCCACCTCTGTGCTATGCTCCCCTCTCCCTTTTTGTAGTGTGAAACCAGCCACCCAGCGTGGGGCCATCACAGCCACAGAGCCCAGTCCCTGTTGACTAGAGGGGGACCTCTGCTGATGCATTATACACCAGAGCAACAGCCGCTCACTGCACATCCTACTAAACATACACTCTACAAACATCAGCTGGAGGACCTTTAGGTTCTGATGGGTCCTTGTTTGGACCTCTGCCCACTGGGTGACCTGTGACTATCTGCAATCCTGCCTGGAGCCTCTTCCTCTGTATATTCCCAGCCATTATAGTCCTACTCAGACACAAGGCAGCTTCTAAAAGATGCATGGGGTTAGTTATTGGCTGAGGGGGAGCCTGTTGGTTTAGTGTTGTGTTTGTGCATTCTGCCTTAGCTTCCTTTTCAAAGAGAAGGGGTAATGGGGGGTTCTATTTAGCATCTCATGGGATATATCAATTGCTTTTTTGCTTTTATATCAACGATCCTTTTATTTTGACTTTGCATATATTCCTCCATTGGTGTATAAGCAGACTTAGTTCCCATAAATGTGCCCCTGCAGCATCTAAGTCTTTAAATAAATGATGTTGATGTTGTGTCTTAACCTTTAGCTCTGTCCACACCCAAAGCCTGACTCGACACCTGCTTATGAGGTAGATTTTCCGGTTTCATCTACTTGCCATGAAGTCTGGCGACAGACGCTATCTTTTAATGACTAACACAGGGGAAGAAATAGACTGGAGGAGAGTCTGAGAGAGAGAGGGAGCAGCGTGTGGATGGAGCCATGCCGCTGTGTAAATGATGTCTGTTTTCCTTTCAGCTGCAAAGTCGGCACCCACCGCTGTGTTTAGAGAGAAGGAAAACTTTAGACAGGCACAGACTAGTTGCACACACACACATGCATGCTAGCACATACACTTTAGGACCTTGGGTGGATTAGCAGGAACTCGACGGCGGAGACAGAGATGCGTGCGTGTTTTGCTTCCTCCCCTCAGCACCTCCACCTCCGCTCCTCAGCGCCACTCCTGCTCGCCTGCCCGGGGCCAGACTCAGGTTTCAATAAGGAGGAGGGTGGTAAAAATAACCCCAGCTTTCCTTCTGCTTCTCCCTCCTCCGCCTCATCTTCTGTCTCCTTCTTCCAACTCCTGAACCACCTTCCCTTGTATCCCCCACCACCTTCGCCTTAGATCATGTTACTATTGACAGAAAGGAGGGAGGAGGGAGGTCAGGGAGTGAGACAGATTAACCATGAAGGCTGACAGCTCTTTGGGTATCAAAGACAAAAATCTTTTACTCTGCACCATTTTGATGCAGTTAAATGCATTTTATCCTCATGGATATTTGTACGTTTCCTTATTCACTGCTAAGAACCAGTATTGCATTGTGGGTATGGAAAATGCAGCGTTTTGTGTCTGAGAAATTAAGAGTTCATGTTGAGGTCAGACTCGGTGTACATCAGTTTATGACTCTGTATATAGCGTCATGTGAGGAGTCTTCTTATCCTTTTGGGTAAGTAATATGTGGAAAATCTTCTGGATAGTGTCTGAAGGAGGCTTCAGACTAAGATAAACCCTAAGAGTGCAACATTTTAAAATCGTAAACATTTTTTGTTGTATTTCTTCCTGCTGTGTGTTTCTTCTTCATCTAGACCTCTGGGCCCTGTAGAATTTTAAACGTTATTAAACTACATGTTTAAAATTCACTCCTGATACATTTCAGTATCAGATTAAAACCCATAGATTCAATTAATAATAGGATTTTTTTTTCAAATGCTGGGGAAAGTCTTAAAGTTGTCTTCAGTTCTGTTTAGAGTAGAGTTAAACCAGGCAAACTCTGTGCGATATTTTCAATCGTTGCACGCAGCTACAGCTCAGACTGTACAACAAAAGGGTTTAAAAGTTTAAAGCTCACGATGCATGTTCTCACACTGTGCGGCCCGACGCTCTTATGGAACCTTACGACTGCCAACGGAATTTCAAACATGTTTGATTTTCTCCCATCCTAACAATTCCCGATTGGGAGGAGGTCGTGAGAGGCTAATCGCCCCTACATGATGCATGATCAGGCTGAAAGTCGGCCTAATCGAAAAATTCTTGCACGATTGGAGAATCGGCCGGAAAAGGGCAATAAATTGTACAGTATATGCCTGGCTTTAGGCAGGATGCCCGTCCCCCACATATTGCTGTGCAATGCAAGTCAGCTGGTTTAATGAAGGCTGCAGCCGTTTTCTGTCTAAAAATATGTTCAGATTCTTAATAAAGCTATTTAGAAAATCTCCAAAGCTGATTCTGTCTAATTTGGGGAATGAGATGTACCAATCCACTTTTGGAAACTATTGATTTCTCTTCCTTTTTCTAGTATGGACTTAAAGGGATAGTTCGGGATTTTTGACATGAATCTGTATGGCATCCCCATCACCAGTGTCATGCAATCATACTGACTTACCCCTGGCAGCATCCTGTGAGCAGAGTTCTCGTCCAGCTTTGGTCAAGCCGAAAGTAGTCCGGCAGGTTTGCTAGACCCAGCGAAATAAAACGTTTCTCTTCCCAAAACATTATGTGTTCAAAAGAGTGATATTTTTGCATCCCAAAAACTTTGTAGTGGAAAAAGTCACACGTCGTTATCACTTGGTCCTATTTTCTCTCTGTTCGTATCAGTGCGCGCGACACCATGACCTGACAGCTAGGGCCTACTAACCTGACAACAGCCAGATGCATGTCTCGCTCCGCCTAGCTCCTAGCTGGGCGGAGCGAGGCATGCATTTGGCTGTTGTTAGGTTAAGGGCCTACCTGTTTGATTCGCGATTGTTTACTACTGGGGAAGATGTCTGACTACGAGAGCGACGAGGAAAACATCGACTTCCACTTAGAGCCAAAGGGATATCTTTATGAACCCGAGTACACTGACGATGAACTTCGACAAATGGAGTTAGATCGGGCAGAAAGAGAGAGGGTGGACAGAGAAGTGATGGAAGCTGAAGCCGGAGCCGCAGGAGCCTCAGCTGGAGCTGCGATATCCAGGGTGGCCGACAAATCATGGTGCACTTGTTTCAAGTGCCAATTAATGCAGACAGAGGTGGATGCTACTGTTGCCACGAGTGGGATTTAGTAATGCCCGAGATACAGAACCTTTCCATTGATGAGGATGTCGGAGTTGCAGCAGCTGCTGTCTGCATCACAAACAACAGCGACTTCCCTGCCCTCCTCAAAGTTGAGCTCGCTGTCAGAATGACGGCGCGCACTGATACGAACAGAGAGAAAATAGGACCAAGTGATAACGATGTGTGACTTTTTCCACTACAATGTTTTTGGGATGCAAAAATATCACTCTTTTGAACACATAATGTTTTGGGAAGAGTTTTATTTCGCTGGGTCTAGCAAACCTGCCGGACTACTTTCGGCTTGACCAAAGCTGGACGAGAACTCTGCTCACAGGATGCTGCCAGGGGTAAGTCAGTGTGATTGCATGACACTGGTGATGGGGATGCCATACAGATTCATGTCAAAAATCCCGAACTATCCCTTTAAACAGAAAATTGATATTAGGAATCATTATGTTGTTTAAAGATTTAAGTCAAACATTAAGTTGCCCTTCTTTTCACTGTGATGGAGGCTTAGATCTCAATAGCCTGCAGGCTGCTAAGCAATAAAAGTACTTTATCCATTGTCTCTATCCATCAGCGTGCATTGAACTTTCTGATGACTCTGAAAACTCTCCTGTTTTCAGAAAACTCGCAGAGTCCCGTGGTGGAGGCAGGCGGCAGCCACGGCCACATGAGCCCCGTGGAGCATTACAGGCGCATGATGTCAGCACTCAGCGAGCAGGGGTCCTTTGAGGAGCAGCAGCAACGCCTCTACCAGCTGGCCAGCAGTATGGGTCTTCCCGGCCACGGTCAGTTTTTTTCTTCTTCTGTGGATTCTGGTTGTCATCACCTCTTCTTTTGCATCTAACACCATAGACACCTCTTTGCAAAGTTTATTTTTTTATTACCTTTTTCCAGAAACAGTGTAACTTTATGTCTTGTTTTCTTTATTTTGTTGAAACTTGAAACTTAATACAGGTCGTGTTACAATGTCTTCTATAAAGTAAGGCTTCTGTCAGCTGTGACCAATCCACCAAGGTGCAGTGCTTCTTTTTAACCTCAGTCTTTGGCGCTGTGTTCAGGGTCCTGTGGTTCGCTTTGCTACTCTGCTGCCAGGATAAAACCCAGGCCTCAGAGATTGCTGACATTTCTATTTGTGGTGCCTGCCCACCCAGCGTCAAAGTGTCACTCTGGGTGATTTCTGACCACCCTGACTCTCTGCTGTTAACAACACTCACAAGCCCTTACATGCACCAGCACCACGACTGATTCAGGGACTCTTATTGGCTGCCAGCCGAGTCCTCTTAAATCTCCCTACAACCAGGAAACCACAGTTGTGTCATTTATTTGTGCCTACAGAAAGAAAATCTGATTGGTTTAAGCACAAGAAGGGTGGCCAATTGAAGAAAATGTAGTTTGCTTTTTTGAATTTCTTCTTCACTATCATTACATGTCAACATTTTCTTTTCCCACAAAAAAAAAAAAAAAAACCCTGCCATCACATTTCAGAAATGTATCACTGTAGCATGGATTCAGTTGCCGCTTTGACCAAATTGTTGTTGATCTACTTTAATTTTTATTTGATTAGGAATGATTTTTAATTGCTGGCTGCTGATCTAGAAGGGAAGGCCTATAAAGGCTTTAATTGCCCTTTTTCTGCGGAAAAGACGGTTTACAGGCGAAATGCGTCACATTATGAGCGTTTTAAGGGCTCGGTCTAATCGCTGGCTTCCTTTCCCAGAAGCTCCAACAGTTTTCATCCAGGCCCTTTGGTTCACTCATCCATTCACTTCTAGATTCCAGAAACGTGGATAGTGCCCTTTATCCGGCTAACATCCAGTGCAGGTTAAAAACCAATCAGTGAAATAAAAAAACATTAATAACCACAGATGTACTGACAGAAAGTAGTGCAAGATTGTGAAGAGAAAAGAAAAAGACTCAGAATGTTTTACACATAAAAAATCAACGGTGTAACAAGTAATTGCACTGAGTTTTTACATTGATACCATCAAATAAAATCTGGTTAAATCAGTTAAAAAGTAATTTAAATAGTAAATGGAGCCCACCTGTGTGTGGTTTAATCTCTTCTGTAAGGATGAAGAAGAAATGAGATGTGATCAGATTTTTCTTTTTAAAACAAAATTCAGTCGGTTCCATTTAGACTTTACAGTCATGCACCATCTGTGTCTCTATAAAATACACAGAGATTTGTGTTTTTTTAGTGTGAAAAAATGCTCAGTGACACAAAGTCTAGGCGCTCACTTCCTGGAGGAGCCCTGGGCGGCACATTGGGCAACTTCCTCCAGATAACCAGTTTATTAGTTTATTTACAAGATGCGTTATTAGACTTCCCCTTCCTTAATGAGCAGGTGGAGCTGGATAAGAAACGGACACCGGTAGACCCAGATGATGGCACAGTGGGAGATGGATGAGTTGTCTCTCAAGAGGCTGACATGAATCTCCCCAGCGAGACCTTCTTGACATTGACCTGGTCTCAAATAAGCTCCTCCATGACCCCCTTCCTCTTTACTCCCCCTGGGCCCCTCATGTCTCCTATACATCTCCCTCTCATGCTTGCTCCGGCACCCCTTCCCCTCCTCCTCTTTTTCCTTACCGCCAACTCTCCCTTTAGCCTTGGTCCCCGCAGAGCATCCTTTCATGTGTTTGAAGTGTAGGGCACAGAAAATGAAAGTGTGTGTGCACGTGAAAGAGGTGGGGGTGAAGAGGATGTGTGTGTGTGTAGGTGCAAGGTGTTGTTTGAGAAGCTCCCTTTGGACCTGATGGGCAAAGGAAGAGAAGGAGGGTAGCTGGGTTGTAGAAATGGCCAGGAGGGCTTTCCCTCCCTCTTCACATGATGAAAGAAGGATGAGGGAGAGGGAAAGTAAAATGAGAGGTGGGGGGAGAGATCCAGATGAAAGTGAGAGGAGGAGTAGGATGTTTTGTCTCCTGCAGTTTGGCCCGACTCAAAATGTGGAGAATCTCTAGCATTATCCTAAAAACAAGAATAGAAAACCCAGGCATTTGATTGGTCAAAGGACAAAGACGTTTAGTGCTACAGATTTAGCACGTATTTACAGCTGCTCGGGCTTATACCACTGGCAGAATGTCCTCCTCGTGGAAAGATTCTTAATTTTCTGGTGCATGCAGAGTTTTTGGCGGATGAATGTTAGCTTTTTGAGAACCTGCCAATCCATGAAATTCATCACCAGTCCAGCCAAGCTGTATCAGCCAGCCGTTCGCCTTCATTCTCGTGCTGGGGAAAACCAGCTTAACTAAGGGGATTAAGCTCAACTTCAGGGCTGATTGTGGTGAGAAAAATGGGATGGCACGGAAACCGGGTTTGTTTTCCAAAATAACTTACAGCTAGGAAAGAGGCCTTTGAGTGTTTGTGTTTTTAATAAGGACTTTAATACGTAATAAGAGGGACACTAGTCCTGTGCTCCAACAGCTGCACCTCTGGATGAGAGCATTAGTTGAAAAATTAAGGATCTGAACGCCTACGCTTTGGACCCAAACACACACAGACTCACACAGGGGCAGAGCCCTGGATGACCCTGCTACTCTCTGTTCACATAAAAGAGAAATAAAGGGAGAGAGGGAGGGAGCAAAATATGAACCCAGTGCTTCACTGAGGTTGAACAAGGATACACAGGATAAATATAGATGGTTATAACAGGAGAAATTAAAGGAACAGAAAGAGAGTTACCAGTTTTCACTGGTTGCTTTGATGGAAATTATCATTTTTATTTGTTTTCCTGTTGAATATAAATCCTGTGTGACCCCCCTACTGCCATCAACTAACTCACATATACCCTGCTATGTAGCCTATTAGACACATAACGTCACCATATTGTTTTCATTATGGCGGATCAGAACAGACCTGGGCACGGAGTCTGTAAGCTGTGCAGTGCCTTAAGTGTTTCTCAAAGTTTTAAGAAACATTTTGAGAGAGCTTTTTTGAGAAAGTTGATTTCTGACCCTAATAAGCAAAAATACTGAAATAAAGATGGATAAATTCAGTCAAGACCTAACTTTTAGTTATAATTTAGCACCGAAATTATCTCTAAATCAAATTCCCACCCCTTTGATTTGTCTTTTCTATAAGCATGAACAGTTAATGATAAAGATAAGTTTTTTTTTTTTTTTTATTGTACCAAATAAATGCCAGCATAATGTAGAGTTTCTACAGCAAGAAAAAAAATTGTAACAAAGTCCTACAATCATCCTTCAGAGGATCAATTTTTAGCAGATATCTCTATGCTGTTGCAGTTTTGTCAAAGTGTTATTTTAGGTATTTAAAATTGCTCACATAAACCAGTTCTTCTGTGTTTTTAGATGCAGAGAATCAAATTATGATACAGAAATCTGTAGAAACCCCTTCTTGTAATACACTGTGTGCAGAATTATTTGGCAAATGAGTATTTTAACCACATCATCCTTTTCATACATGTTGTCCTACTCCAAGCTTTATAGGCTTGAAAGCCAACTACCAATTAAGTAAATCAGGTGGTGTGCATCTCTGTAATGAGAAGGGGTGTGGCCTAATGACATCAACACCCTATATAAGGTGTGCTTAATTATTAGAAAACTTCCTTTCCTTTGGCACAACAGGTCAGAAAAGAGATTTGAAAGACTCTGAAAAGTAGAAAATTGTCAGATGTCTTTCAGAAGGGTGCAGCAGTTTGGAAATTGTCAAGCTTTTTAAGCGGGATCATCGCACATTTAAGCGGTTCATAGCAAGTAGCCAACAGGGGAGCAAGAAGCATGTTGAAAAAAAAAGACGCAAAAGAACTCCTGATGAATTGAGAAGGATCAAGCGTGATTAGTCACCAGTTGTGCCATATTTCAGAGCTGCAACATGTCTGGAGTGCAGAGAGGCACAAGGTGTTCAATACTCAGGGACCTGGCCAAGGTAAGGAAAGCTGAAAAGAGGCCACCTTTGAACAAGACAAAACGTCAAGATTGGGCCAAGAAATATCTGAAAGCTGATTTCTCCCAGGTGTTTTGGTCTGATGAAATGAGAGTGAGTCTTGATGGGCCAGATGGATGGGCACCAGGCTGGATCAGTAAAGGGCAGCAAGTTCCTTATCGACTCAGACGCCAGCAAGGTGGAGGTGGGGTACTGGTATGGGCTGGTATCATAAAAGATGAGCTTGTGGGACCTTTTCAGGTTGATGATGAAGTCAAGATCAACTCCCAGACCTACTGCCAGTTTCTGGAAGACACCTTCTTCAAACAGTGGTACAAGAAGAAGTCGCCATAATTCAGGGAAAACATGATATTCATGCAGGACAATGCTCCATCACACGCATCAAAATACACCACAGCATGGCTGGCCAGAAAAAGTCTAAAAGGAGAAAAAATAACGACATGGCCCCCTTGTTCGCCTGATCTGAACCCCATAGAGAACCCGTGGTCCTTCATGAAATGTGGGATCTACAGGGAGGGAAAACGGTACACCTCTGTAAACAGCATCTGGGAGGCTGTGGTGGCTGCTGCACGCAATGTGGATCACAAACAGATCAAGACACTGACAGAATCTATGGATGGAAGGCTTTTGAGCGTCATGGTGAAGAAAGGTGGCTGTATTGGTCACTGATTTTTTTATTTATTTGTTTGTTTTTTGAATGTCGGAAATATTTATTTCTCAATTTTGAGTTGTTATATTGGTTTACCTGGTGAAAATAAACAAGTGAGATGGGTATATATTTGTTGTTTATTACGTTGCCTAATAATTCTGCACGTTAATATTTACCTGCACACACACAGTCTTTTGGGTTGATTAAGAACACAAATATGGCCCAATAATAAAAATAATCCTCAAAAATACAACTTGCCTAATAATTCTGCACACAGTGTGTATACTTATTATACTTTATTATTATATTATTATGTGATGTTCAATTTAATTAAAAAGGTGGGAAAACAGAAAAATCAGTCAAACAAGTTTTTTACTGTTTGCGTTCTACTGTTAGTGGAAAATAAAATATATACATTTTCTACTTAACGCATCTTTCCAAACTATCTGTGGGTTTAGGATCTAGAGCTGCAGAAGTTAGAGCAGTAGATAGGATGTGGTAGGGATGCATTTAGGTGTGCAGCTTTGATTTTAAATCAGTTGCTTAGAAGACATTGTAGAGGTCCCATAATAAAAATTGCTAAAGCATGCCTTTAACAGAGCCAGCCATGCAAAATAATTGTGACCACAGAGAACTCAGAGGTCACCTGTTCCTCCCTGTCACAAGTGCACTGCAGCCCGACTCTGTGTTTTGTGTGTGTGTGCATGCTCTGGGGCTTCACTCTCCTCTCATCCTTCTCTTATCTTTCTCAGCCTACCTCTACCCCCCACCCTCCACCACCACACACACACACACACAAACCCACACACTCTTGTCTGCCGCCAGCCGAGTCCCCTGTGGCCCAGCGCGGCAAACAGATCGATACACCGGAGCTAGGCCGCATTAATATCTGTCGCTTCACCCCCCCCCACCACCACCACCCCGGCGCCCACTCAGCTGCTTCAGTACACACACGCACACACAAAGCACACAGTTGGGCACGCACTAGCAGGCACCTAAATCACGCAGACACACAAAAACACACATCACACCCGTACTGGCGGCGGAAATGGCCCCTAGCTCCCGAGGGATCCGTCTAATTAAAAAAAGGGTGGTGGAGGGTCGGAGGGGTGTGTATGTGTGTGTGTGTGGGAGGGGGGAAGTGGATAGATTGAGGCAGGGAGCGAGAGGGAGGAGAGAAAGAGCCGGATGGATTTTTCTCTCATTAGAAGCCATGTCTCCTGGTGTGGCCTGGCCTGGCTGATAATGATGAGTCCTCTTCTCCAGCAAGGGAGAAAGGGAGGCCGAGGGAACGGAGAGGTGGAATGAGGCGAGCATTTGAGGGCAGGAGGTGGAGGGAGGGCAGGGGTGGGGGGTGGTGATGATGGCAGCAGGGGTGGGGAGGAATAAAAACATTGTGTGCTTGTTGTGTTGGTCAGGTGTTAGAAAATATCTGATTTTTGTGACCGAATTCTGTATTTGTAAAGCAAAACAAGTCTTTAGGTAATCTGGTTCTACTTTAAGCCGGGAATACACTGTACGATTTATTGCCCTTTTTGGACTGATTCTCCAGTCGTGCAAGAATTTTTTAACTTTCAGCCTGATTGTGCATCGTACGTCGTATAGTGTACAGGGGTAACAAGGGGTGATTAGCCTCTCACAAACACCTCCCCATCAGGAATCGTAAGGTCGGCAGAAAATCAAACATTTTTGAAATTATGTCGGCCGTCGTAAGTGTGCATCAGGGCGTTGGGACGAAGTGTGAGAACATGCATCGTGACCTGCATCCAATGATTTAAAATATCGCACAGTGTATGCCAGCTTTAGCTACATTAACACTGCAAGCAAGTGTGACCTAAATTAAAAATTTTTTGCCCATATGAGACAAATTTTCCAGTTTTTCACAGCATTCTAAATATACATTTTTAGACTGTCATTAGCCAGGCTAGCCAGTTAACTGTCTTTACATAGCTAAACTGGGGTAATCTGTTACCTAGACAATAGGTTCCCACCATGTCTGATCCGCAATCGTTCATGACTAAGTTTTCAGCTTAGAATCATCTAACATAAACGTTGCTGTACTTGGTCCATCCTTCCTGTTGTCTGATTAAAAGCTTACTCTCTTTTAACCTCTGTAGCTTAAATGAAACTTGGACAGGTCTCAGCATGTTTTAGTTTTCATTCACCATGGTGCATTACATCTCATTTCTCAAAAACGCTGCTGTTAGTAATAAAGGTTAACTTACACTTCTTTACTTAGTAAGAACTTTAACATTAAAAAGTGCCCCAGAGTGTGTTTACTAATCCAAATATTATGGTATCTTTTTTAGTTAAGCTAAGTTAGTTTAACTGGCCAGTTTCAGTCACCGGACGATTTCTGTGCATCTCTACAGAAAAATCCTGAAACTGTCTTTATCTTTAAGAGAGCCTTCTTTGACATTGTATTTTGCAGATTAGCAGTTTATGCATTCATTTATCTGAGAATGTTGCTCTGTTTATGTGAAATAGAAAAAGCACCTCATAATATGCATACTTTGTTTTTATGCACTGACTTAAATATTTATGATGAACTGTAGTTTTTATTGTTAATTTCATTACATCTTATGTGTTCATGGCCCTACAGTCTCTTGCAAAATCAATAAAGCAAAGAATCTTACAGTGAGTAATTGAGGAGTTAGTTATTGTTTTTATTCCACGTTAAAGACAGTGTTGCAGCATGAACGTGCAAAGGCTAAAACTATAAATCCATCTGGATTTTTATCATTTTGACAGTATTTACTGATCTCTGTGCTTCTCCGGTTTCTGCAGACATACTGCGGGCTCGTCAGGAGGCGCTGGCTGCAGCAGTCAGGAATCCCGCAGCCTTAGAGGCCCACCTGCCCACAGCAGGCAGCTCTTCATCATCCAGCCAGAGACGCAAGCAAGGTCTGCCACAGCACCGGGATGCGCATTACACCGACAGGTAAAAACCTGCCAGATGAGCCTTTTCCTTCTTCACAGTGCCATATATCTATGGCATAAAAGAGTAAATATCTAACCATAGCCTCCTTTACTGATGGCCAGCGAGGAGGAGCTTAAAGCGTTCATAACCTGTCGGTTTTCATCAATTTTTGCCATTTTCTTTTTACTCCGTCTTGTTTTTCCAGAAACATCTGCTCTCATGTTGGGCTTTCTCATTCTGCCCAGTTTCCACATACATGTCTAAACTAAGGCTCCAGTAACATCTTGGCTATACCGCTGTGGAGTTGTACGCCTGCCCCCCTCACCCCCCCACAGCGTTGGCCCCTGCGCCTCCCAAACAAAGCCAGGGGCAGCGGGAGTGGGCGGGTAATTGCTTGTCGATTATTTATGTGGCGCGGGAGAGGCGGGGGATCGATAATGGGCCGGCGGTGCGGCAGCAGGGGGTGTGTGTATCTTTGTGTGTGCTTGTGTGTGTGTGAGAGGCAGAGGGAAAGATTGGTGAGGGGTAGGAGGGGGAAATGAGCAGGAAGCAGATCGGCCAGGCGCTGTGTGGTGCAGCTCTGGGAGACCGTGGGGGTGTATGTATTTTTGTGTGTTAGACTGAGGAAGGGGGGAGCTTAGTGTTTTCCGCGTGTTTGTTTGTTCCATTTTTCGAGCCAGCGCTCTCCATGCGTGATCATCTGTGCGTACTAAATCTGGGTTTGTTTGTGTGAATATGTCTCCTAATTTGTGTGTGAGGGTGAGAGGCCAGTGGCGCAGTGTGAATGTAGTCGGCGAGCCGCGCCTGTTCTCTGACAGAACACTGAGTAATTAGCCACACAGGACTGGGGAGAGTTAACCAGACCTCACCGTCCATCCATCCATTACTGTCCAAATCCATCCTCACATCTTCCTTTGAGCTCTCTTTAACCCCATCTCTCTGAATACGTGCCTTGGAGTAAATTAAAAAAAAGATTGATGAATGGGGGGACATGTTGGAGAACATTTCAGCTGGGTGCTCTCCCTGTACGTAATCATCTGCTCATGACCAGGACAAGGCTTGACTGGCATGTTATGGCTCTTCATATTTTTTTGGCCTAGTATCACCAAGGTTACACACTTGAGATTTTAAACTTCTTTTGACTGGGAGCTAGAATTTTAACATCTAAATTAGCCAGACATTTTTGATATGAACTTATTATGGTCAGTTTTTTTTTTTCTTTAATCAAGAAAAATAATACCTTCTTTATAACAAACCTCCCTGAAAACATTCTACTAATTACATTGCAAAAGGCATTTAAATGCCAAAAAATACTCTTTAATGGTATTAGCTTCTTTTCAGTAAGACTGCAGCTGCTTGATTCCTTTGATAAAGCTGAATTAGCAGGTATTTCTCTATATCTTATGAATCTCCTCCTCTAAAGAAATCATTAGCAGATTGCATTTTGGTTTTGGTCCTTTTCTACCAACTGTGTGTAAATTCATACTTATGGAACTTGCTGATTGGTCCTTTGTTTCCTCTCAATTGTGACATAAGGAAATAAGGATCATTTCTAAGACTTAAGATAATATACAGTTATACATACGTATATGTGAATATACAGCATTTCTGTAATTGACTTTATTATTCATGACAGTGCATAACAGCAAATAAAAGAGGTTAGTATGAGTGTGTGTTAAAGGTATAGTGGAGGATGTTCTTTTTCCAGGTGGATCATCAAAATTAGTGGTTGTCCTAATTGTCAATCATTCTGGTGATATGTTTATGTAAGGCCGTCCTACGTACTCGTCCCCATTTTCACTTACTTGTGGGGAGTCTGACAATGGAAAAATTGCAAATCTTCTTTTGGAAAGTAAGCTTGGATGCAAACACCAACTTTTAAAGTGAGCATGAATGAGGAGAAATGGGCTCGTGTACGCTTTCCCAGGTACTTACTAGGCATTCTCTCTCAGGAGCAGGTACAGGGGTTGTGCATGTTTTTTTTTTTTAAGTGGAGAGGACGGGTGTTTTGAAAAATCAGTGAAAATCCTCCACTATACCATTAAGGTATAAAATTAAAGAAAGGTACAAAAAAACTAACACTCAGATATTCACATATTGACTCAATTATAAACTTTACCATTTACTTTAACTATATCATATTGAAAAATGATGATCGAGAGCAAGAGAAATGGATGATCTGCTTGAATGGATCCAGCTTTGGTTTGCTTTTCTGTGATTCAGACTTTGTAGTGCAACACCTAGTGGGTGACTAAGGTTGAATCCTAAATATACCAAGAACTTTTAGCCTCCCTGTGCTTCAATTTTGACTTTTACTAACATTGTTATGTTGGGCTTTTGGTTTATCAATCTGGTTTAGTTATTTACTCCATAGTACAGGCTAAACAGCCAGGTTTGGATCTTTTTACTATCTGATGAACCATTTTAAAGGATAACTCTGTGAGCCTTGCTGCAATTCATGGCTGCTGCAAGTCTTTGGATGATGTTTGCATTATCAACCTGAGGGCTGATTTATAGATAGGGACCCTGTGTTTCCATCAGAGCCAATTTAGATTTTTAAGAAATGATATAATCCTTCAGATTATGAATTCACATTCGTACTTTTAGAGATCAGCATTGAAAAGTGTGCATTAAATTAATATAGGTAAGTCTATTAATGGCATTAATAGTAAACAGAAAGTAAGTTCTCCAATATATATTTTTGTTCTGATACTTAGAGGTACTGCTTAACTTAAAAAAATCCTCTAGTTTCCACAGGAGACTAATGCAATTTGGCATCAGTATATCAGAGTTCAGTCTTTATTAAATAATGGATAAATCTCACTGACTATGTTGACCAGGCTCCTCTGTTGGTTAATCACTCCCAAGGATGGTACTTGGAGTCTCGCTTTTTCATCCTCTTGAAGAAAATCCAAATGGCATAGCATAGCATATTCTCTGAGCGGCAGTGTGCATTCATTGTAGTCAAAGTTTAGCGAACCCGCCCTCATGTTTTAACATGACAATGACCCTCTGTGAGGTCTATAAAGAAATGTTCTCCCCAAATGCATCCCTGAAGCCCTGCTCCAGAATGTAAAGAAAGGCTTCTTCAGCCTGATTAATATTAGCGCCAATGTATTGGATACCAGTAGAATGCTAGTTTAAAGGCTTTGCACAACAGGGTAGTTTGAGAGTGCCAGACTGTAGCATCTATCCAGAGTTAAACGTTAAGAAAGAATTACAAATATGTATGATTAACAAGCTAAAGTAAAACCAACAGAATGAAAGCAAGTGAGCGAAAGATAGAGGCTTCTCTAACTCTCTCCGTGGCTCACCTTTCCATCGACTCCTCATCATTGATTATCTGGGGCCCATTAGGGCCCATTGTTAAAAACAAATCATTAGGACTGCTCGATAGGCTTAGAGCCTGGCGCTCCATTTGTCTGGCCCTAAATGGCACTAGGCTCACTGAACATGTGCAAAGCAAATAAGGGATGGATGAAGAAAAGTAAAGAGAAAGAGGAAGTAGAGAACACAGGAGGTAAGAACAGGGGTGAAGCAAAAGGAGACGGCGAGGTGACGGAGGAAGATGAACCGAAATAGAGAGTAAGGAAATCGAGAGAGTGTGAGATAAGGGGAGGAAAGGGGTGGAGGGAAGATGCAGAGAGAGACGGAGATAGCAGGAGGGAGAGAGAGCAAGCGTGGAGGGAGCCTCATCCATTTTAATGAGCTTCCTGTGTAAATGTGTTCCTGCGGAGAGGGAGCCGAAGGCGGCCGCGCGGCGCTCCTAATCCCCCCACGCTTCAGTCATTAAGGGCAGCCCTTCACACATACACACACACACACACACACACTTAAAAACACTGGGCCTGCGCTGTTGCAGGACGGGGCCGCTGTCGCCATTCTGACAGGTCGCCACACACCAGTGAGTTCCCCATGAGCCTGTGGCCTGTCTGCAGGGAGAGACGCACAAAATCCACTGATAGAGTTCAGCTTGATGATGAGTCCACCTTGCATTCTCGGTTTGCATCCGTGCTTCTTTTCAACCTTTTGCAAAAAAAAAAAACCTAGCAACCCCCCCCCCCCAAAAAAGGCTAAATGTTTTTCCCTTATCTTTTTATAGCATGTCAGTGGTTTGCCAACAAAATGCACAGAGTGCTAAAAGAAAACCACAGACTCAGATAAATAAGTGCACAGAAACATGTGTGCATCATGCACCCAATACACACCAACCCGCCTAATGTCTGCCACTCCTTCCGCAAAATTGCCTCCTATAAAAGGAGGAAGAGAGGGATAGATGAAGGAGAGGAGGGGAGTGTCAGACGCTCTCTTTCTCTCTGCTCTTTCTTTTTCCTCCCCGTGATTAGGCCTAATTATGGTGGCGCAGACGCCTGGCAGCCCCAGTCATGCAGCTTTAATTGACCGTTATTCATCTGCGGGCAAACGCTAGGCAAGGCAGCGCAAGGAGAGGGAATATCAGAAAGAAGGGGGGGTTGTGATGAGAGTCTGGCATGCGGGAGCCTCGGTGGGGGTGGATGGGAGTTTTGCGGACGCTGTGGCGTAGCCTAGTGGAAGTACGCGTCGCAGGGCTAATTGCTGGCCCTGAGGGATTAGGCCAGGTGATTACACACTGGGCGGTGTAATTACATAAGCGGCGGCTAACGGGGTCTTGGCTAGCGGCTCCGGGGTCATGCGCCATAGCCCTCACCCAAGATTAATTGGAGCTGCCACTGGAGTGCGGGGTAGCCACGGAGAGGACGGTTATACGATTAGTATTAGCATTTCAGCGGCAATCAATGAATACAGAGGCATATACACACACAGCTAAGCTTCCCCCCTCAGTCTCATCTGCCTGCTCCTATTCAGCATGTGTCCTCACACTCCTTGCTGTTCCTGCCGTTTAGAGAGGAGAGAGAGACTAGCGGGCGCTGGCTAATTTGAACACAGTCTCAAAACAATATCTGAGGTTTCAAGCGTGCCAGTGTTGGTTTTGACTTTGTTTTGCTCAGCTTGTTTCCCATGTTTGCTTTTGTTGAGCGGCTGTCAGACAGCTGAGCGCCAAGTGGTCAGATGGTAGCAGAAGCTGCTCCTAATCCCCACGCTTCAGTCATTAAGGCACCCTTCAACATCATAGCATAACAAACACACACACTTAAAAACACTGGCTGCGTTGCAGACGGGCCGCATGTCGCCATTTCTGACAGTTCAGCAACACATGAAGTTTCCCCATGACTGTGGCTTCTGCAGTGAGCTGCACAAAATCCACTGATAGGTTCGCGGCGTAGATACGAGCTCCACTTCCCGACATCTCCCTCTGGGTTTGAAACCGTGCATTCTTTCAACCTTTGCAAAGAAAAAATAGCTACCCCCCCCAAAAAAGGCTAATGTTCCTGTATCTCTTATAGCATGTTCTTGGTTGCAACAAAATGCACAGGTGCTAAGAAAACACGACTCGAAATAAGTGACAGATAACATGTGTGCATCTGACAATAACACCAACGCTAAGTCCCACTCGCTCGCAAAATTGCCTCTATAAGAGGTAGAAGGAGATGAAGGAGGGAGTCGTATGCAGACGCTCCTTCCTGATGCTACTATCTTTTCCTCCCGTGATTAGGCCTAATATGGTGTGCGCACCTGAAGGTTCTTGCAGCCCCTCATGCAGCTTAATGACGTTATTCATCTGCGGGTAACGCTAGGCAGGCAGGCAGGAGAGTGAACTATAAGAGGGGTTGGATGAGAGTCTGGCATGCGGAGCCTCGGTGGGTGGACTTTGGATTTTGCGGACGCTTGGCTAGCTAGTGAAGTACGTCGCAGGCTAATTGCATGGCCAGGATTAGGCCCAGTGATTACACAGGCAGTGTGAACTTACATAGCTGCGGCTAACGGGTCTCCTAGCGGCTCCGGTTCTGCGCTCATAGCCTCACCAAGATAATGGACCTGCCACTGGGAGGGAGGGTATGCCACTGAGAAGGACGTATATCATTTTTCAGTTTCAGCGGAATCATGAATACGTAGGCATATGACACACGCTAAGCTTCCTCATTCATCTGCACTGCTCCTATCAGCATGTGTCCTCACACTCCAGAGAATAGTAAGGAAGAAAAGTGGTTATGTACAGAGCTGGAAACTGAGACAAATGACTGGAATAGAGATGGCTGTAAACAGTATTATCATCCAGCCAATGCTCAAGTCTTCACATACCTGACATCTGCATTAGGTCAAGATGCATGTTGCACATTCCTGTGGCAGCCTCCTACCCTGGATTGCCAGCCATAGCCATTCCTTTGAATTTTCATTTATAGCTTTAAAACCACAAGCTTAAACCAATAGACCGGCACAAAAATCTTGATTTTGAAGTTTAAGAAACATTATAGATTTTCTACTCCTCGTCTTGCACTTTATCCAGGACTGGGTCGCGGGGTAGCAGTCTCAGCGGAGACTCCCAGACTCTCCTCTCCCGAGACACCTCCTCCAGCTCTGCTGGGGGAAACCTAAGGAATTCCCAGGCCAGCTGAGAGACATAGTTCCTCCATCATGTCCTGGGTAGTCCCCTGGGCCTTCTTCTGGTGGGACGTGCATGGAACACCTCCCGAGAGAGACGTTCAGTGGCATCTGAAAAACAAAAAGCCAACTCAGCCCAACTCCTCTTGATGTGAAGAAGCAGCTCTACCTGAGCCCCTCCTGGATGACTAAACTACTACCCCTATCTCTAAGGGAGTGCCTAGCCACACTGTAGAGAAAGCTCATTTCAGCCACTTCATCCTGTTCTTTCGGTTATGTTCCAGATTTCATGACTATAGGTGAGACCACCTGGCACATGTAGAGCTTTGCATATTTGCTTGGCTTTCTCTTTACCACAACAGACCGATGTAGCGTCCACATTATAGCAGCAGTTGAACCAATCTGTCTATCGATCTCCACCTCCATTTTCTCTTAATCCCAAGATACTCGTACTCCTCCACTTGAGGCAGGAACTATTCTTCAACTTGAAAAGGACAATGCACCTTTTTCCAGTTGAGAACCATGGCTGTGGCCTTTGAGAAGCTGAATCTCATTCCTGTCACTTCACACTTGGCTGCCAACCACCTTAATGCATGCTGTAGGTCTTGACAGAAGGGAGCCTGCAAAAACTCGTCTGCCAAAAGCCGGGACAAATTTGTCTGGTCCCAAAAACAAAACCTCCTCCGGCACAAGGGAGCCTGACTGGTGACAGAGGGCAGCCCTGCTGGAGTCCACCGAGTCCAAATTAATACTAGGGACCAAAATTATACTCCCGTACCTCTGGAGTTCCCACACATGGCACCACAAGGGATGTTAGATGACTTCTCAAGGTCCACAAAACACATTTGTACTGGTTGGGAAAACTCCTAAGCACCATGCAGAGGGTGTGGAGCTGGTCTGGTGTTCCACGGCTCTGATGAAAACCACATTGCTCCTCCTGAAGCCATTTTTCAAAATCATCCAGACTCTCTTCTCCAGCACCCTGGCAAACGTCTTTCTGGGGAGACTTATTTAGTTTTATACATAAAAAGAAAAAAGTCAATTCTTTGTAGAAGCATCTTTCTCTGTAGTTTCAGCTCCCGCGTCATTCTTGTCCAGTCTTTTTTTTTTCTACTGAAGTTCCACAAGCTTAGAGGATCAGTTTTCAAATTTGCCTCAGATTCTAAATTGAATTTAGAGTTAAACTTGAACTGGTCTTGTCTGGTCTAACCCATTATATTGTAGATCTGGCTTTAGGGTGTGTTTAGTTTTAAGCACTTTGCAGCTTCTGAACGGATTGTACCATTGCTCCATCACATTTCTTTTTCTGATCCTGCTAAAAAAAGAGCATGTCCATAGGATTGTCTGTTTAGAGGCATGTGATATTTTAGCATTTCTCTACACTTGTTTGGCATGTCGGCCAAAGCGAGAAGTGGTAGAGCCTTGTTCCATGATTGCTGTGTCCGTTAAATGACTTGCGGTCAAGCTTAAATAGGACTTCTTGGGGCTTTCTTTCCTAAATTATTTTCTGCTTCCAACATTTCTATTAGCATTAAGGGAGCGTTTCCAACTACTGTAATTTCTGTGCCTCATTTAAAAAAGCTCTCCAAGCTAAACTGTGGATCTCTACAGGACCTTTTCTGGTGGCCCCATACAGATGGATGGCTCTATTTTCATTGGTTTTTCATTTGTTTCATTTGTCTTATGCACCATATTCCATTTTCAGATGAGGGATTGGACATTCCTCTGAGAGATGTTAAATGCTTTTATAACCTAACCTTGTTTTAAACTTCTCCACAAACAGAAGTTTGTGCAAGTTAGGTTCAAGAGGGTTATTTATGGGGATAAGAAAGGAGGTTAACTATAAATCCACACACATTTGATGCTTTTATATATGAAAAGTGTTGAACCATTTGTTATTTTCTTTACATAACACTTTTGGTTTGTAAGAAGACAATATGTTGGAAACACTGTCTGTGATTTGTCCTTTAAGAATGTGAACCTTAGCGAAGGGGGGTAAAGGAAGAGAGTAAAGAGAAGAAAAGAAGTTAAAAAGGAAGGAGGGGAAAGTGAAATAAGCAGAATAAACAGACAGGATGAGGGGTTGGAGCAGGAAGGTACTTAAAGGTGAAAGAAAGGAGATGGCAAAAGAAATCTATCAACAAGACTAAGATTTTCTTTGGACACATCAGTATAGAGATGGGAGATGGTTAAGACAGAAGAAGTGGGAGAAAGGTGAGAGGCACCTTTTCCCCCTCAAAGAGAACAAAAGATGATGGCAATAATAGAGAGGTCTTTTCAGAAGAAGAGTTGCTGGATGCTCCATCTTTTCAATGAAGTCGAGAGAGAGCGACAGGGAGGGAGACGGAGCGGGGGCCATTAAAAAATGGGGAGAGAAGAGAGGAGTGTTAATTAGGAGGTCCTTCAGCCTGTGGCCCCGGTCAAGACGCAGGGGCCGCCCCAGCTGTCGGAGCGTGACCCACTGGCATTGTGCATTCAGCCTTCATTATGTGTGTGCGAGAGAGGCTGCAGGGGGAAGGAAAGGCTCCTGTCCAGGGAGCAGCAATGGCCAGCGACGGATGCTGCGGCGTGACAAGACTGATGAGGCACAGGAGTGACATGGGGGCCCCCTAATAAAAATACAGCTTATATATCAGTTAGGATGTGAATACAGGCTTCTCTTTACAATGACAGCACAATTCTTTTTGTGAAGGTGTTTTTCAGTTAAATCCAGAGGGTTAATTCATTTATGAACTAATGCCTCGCTTTTATTTGTTTGCACAGAGAGCTGTCCCATCCTCCACCCCTCCTGTCTCCAACTGCTCCTCACGTCACCTTAGGGCCTCACCTACGGCCTCCCTTCCTGGGCATGCCCTCCGCCCTTTGCCAGGCTCCTGGTGAGTGATAAGCAGAATGTGCTTCTTTTTCAGTTAGAATAACCTTAATATTCTTCCATTTCCCACGTGCAGATTTTACTTTTTTTAAGCGTTATATCTAAAGTCCACAAGGCCACAAATGAAAAACTGCCATTAATGACCCCAAAGTGCATTTCAAAAGTCTTACAAAGGAAGCTTTTTCATTTTTTTAGTGCGAGAATTTCACTTTAATTTTTATTTCATTGTAAAAAGTCAAGAGAAAGGAAATAGAAAGCAAACTTTAGAATTTAGTAACCTTAATTTTAAAAAGACATATTAGCTAGACCAATTCTATGGTGAAATGTAAATGATAAAAAGTGAAAAAGTTCACTGCTTTATTAAAAAAGTGGATTAAAAAATAATTTAAAAAAAATGCAATTTCAACTGTCGGTCCTCCCAATGTTTTCCCAGATCAGTGCAAATTGGCACCAAATGAACCAATGTTCAGTTGTGAAATGATGTGAAAGTGCATCTCTGACGTTTCGTCTCTTGCAGGTTACGGCTTCCTGCAGCCTGCCCAGGCAGAGATCTTGGCTCGGCAGCATGAGCTATTAAGGAAGCAGAATCTGGCCAGGTTTGTTGTTACTACTTATAGGTTAGAAGTTTAACTAGAGCCTGAACTGTTGTTAACCAAATTTATTTATTGCACAAGCATAAGAGACGTGAAGAAAGAGGTTTGTTTTGTCAAAGTCTCCGCGTTTTTTTCTTTTTTAGGCTTGAGATGTCGGCAGAGCTGCTTAGACAGAAAGAGTTGGAAAACCTCCACCAACAGCAGCAGCAGCAGCAGCAGCGACTTCTTGGCTCAGACCCTCTAGGAGCCCTCCCTCCCGGCTTGCCCCCTGACCATCCGGCCCTGCGCAGTCTCCACGACATCCCAGAGGGACACCCCCTACGAGAGGAGCTGATCCGCCGCTCAAATGCGATGCTGGTGCTACGCCACGGCACCGCCACTCCCCTCCTAGCTCTCAACCAGCAGCAACAACAACAACAACCAAGGGCGACCTCCACACCCAAAGACACACAGGTTCACAGCTCTGCTGTCGGGCCGGATGGCGAATCCAGAAAGGCCAGCCGCAGGGAACCCGAGACAGAGCTTCGTCCTGGAGATCACAGAGGAGGAAGAGACGACAGGGGAAGGGAGGGAGACATGGAGGTACACGATGAGGAGATGAAAGACTCAGACAGTGAGACGGAGATAAGCGAAGAGAGGCGAGAGAGCTTCGTTTCCAGGCCCAGCAGTAAACCCGGCAACAGAGAGAGGAACAGGGGGAAGGAGCCTGGCAGCAAGGCAGGGTGTGAGAGTGCCAAAGAGACCGGCGCAAGCTCAGGGAGGCTGAGCGCCTCCGGCTCAGCAGATACAGAGTCACCTAGTCGCAACCTCTTCACCCCTGGACATGGCAAGGCCGATCTCAAATATCACCTGCCACCAGGGTTCATACCACCTTTGCCTGCTCTTCACGCTCAGTCGCTGCCCTTTGGATTTCCCTACGCCAGCCCTTACTTCCCTGCGGGTGAGAGAGCCTCAACACATACACACACACTGCATAGAGGTGACATGTGAAACCCATTAGCATCACTCTATGTGTGCATGTCTCCAGTGTGGCGACCTCTACTTGTTAGGGGCCCTAACTTTGACCCCAAAGTGACCCACGAGTATCCCCCCCACACCCCTCCCAGCAGCACAGCCACGTAAACAGAGTACAGGGGGAGGGGCAGTTTGTTGTCAGTACATACAGGCCGTCCTGCTCCTGGACCAGCAGCAGCAGTTACACCATTTATTGGACCTTTTCTGAGCTTGGAGGCTCAGCATGTACAGCTGAAGCTGAGGCGATGGAAATCCAATATGTTCATATAAACTGTCAGCATATAAATCAGAATATTATTACACAGTAAATAAAAAATAAGAGGTTAAAACAGGACAACACCCAAGTAATGCAAGCACATGTTTGCATTACTTGCTTTACTGATAAGCTGCTATGAGACTAACCGTATTATGTTTTGGTAAAATATGCTGCAGTTTTAAAACAACTTTAATAAAAGTGTTTTGCTTTAATTAAAACCAAGAAACAATGGTTTGTAATACTGATCCATTACAAGAGAAGCACTGCTCCACAGTAAATTTTAGGGTCTTAATTGGTTTATTTTTGTTACATGGTTATATATTACATTACTAAATTTTCATTTGTCTGGCATAATTTTCTAATTTGGAAGTAGTTTTCAGGTAAACATTGTTTTAGTGCAGACGTTTGCTCTTTATAGAGGAACAGAGTGTTGATGTTAGCTGGGTATTTGGTCAGGCATCTGCTCAGGCAGGCAGTCTGCAGTCTCTATAAAAGATATGCAGCTCCTAGCCTGACACAATCTGTTTTTAAGAAATGATGCTCCAAAGAGAATAAATTTAGCTGCCTCCCTGCAGCTGTCATTCCTCCATATAGATGAACACTAAATAAGTTTGTTCGTTAACTCAATAGAGGGGTCTTTAACCCACTGTATGGAAGAAAGTTTGAGGTTTTAATGCTACCTTAACATTAACTAGCTGATGTCCAACAGCTGTACACATGTTGCTGCTCTCCTGCTCGCCGTTTCCCAACCTTAGTCAAATAAAACAATCACTAAAAACACTCAGACCCTTCGATTCACATTTATCGATTATTCCGCTCCTTCCATATTGACTCTGTTTATCTCATTATTGTGCTTTCCTCTTTAAACCCACCGACTCTTGAGAATTACTGATTTTGATGTATGATTCAGCTGTGTGCGCTCGCTGCATATATTGACATTTCACCGACTGCTGTGGGTATCCTTTGATTCTTTATTTCCAGGCTCTTTGGGGGGTCTTTTCATGGATGGGGAGGACTCGACAGCGTCAAACCCTGTGGAAGACGTCAGCAAGTGGAGCGTGGAGGATGTGTGCGGCTTCATAAGCAGCCTGGCTGGATGTGCTGAATATGCACAGGTGAGAGCTCAGGAGGAGAGAGGGGGAGGAGAGGGAGGCCAGGGGCAGGCTAATAACCATAGAAGAAGAGTAATAATAACTTCAAATACCTGGTGGATTTTAAAATGAATGTCCTTATGCTGAGGTAGAAATAGCAGAACTGCAGGTTTTCTCCGAGTTTACTGTGAATGTGAGCAGGCGAAGATTTGAGTGTGAATGAGTGTGTCTTTGTGTATCACTTGTATGTTTGAGCATCATTACACCAGCATTTACAAAACAACATTGTAAAAAAGTAAGGTTTATCATAGCACTAGCTATTAAAAAATTGATCAGATATCAGGAAAGATTATTCTGAGGGTTTCCACACAATTTTGTTAAAAACCAAATTCTCAGGCTTTTTTTTTTTTTATGAACATTTGAAATTATTAACACCACTAAAAGGACAAATATTACTTTGAAAAACACAAAAACAAGGAAAAAGTAGGAAACAGGAACAATACTAAGACAGAATGTAAGGGGGAAAAAAAACATTTTGAAAGAGCAAGGCAGAAGAAATGACGGACAATAGTATAGACAGATGGAAACAGAGGGTGAAGCAGACATTTAAACAGGAGGAACTGGAATAAACTCTGAATTTTTTTTCTCTTATACTTATCCAGACCTGGAAAATAGTCAAACTCTCAAGACTTTTTTTCTGGACTTTTTTTGAACCCTGAAATAAACACGGCATTATCGCTACCAGCCAATTCAGTCTTTTATTTTCTACAAAGGGGAGATTATTAGTGTTTCCACCGCTTTCATTACAATACAAAGGTAACTGATGATACTCAGCAACATGTAGGGGAGGGGACCCCCAATGGCCAGAAAAACAATGACAATGTAATGGGTTTAAAATGGTCTACCTTTAGATTAAGTAGTGTTTCAGTTCTAAACTTAGATTTTCAACAATTAAATAACAGATTTATAAAACTTCTCTCTTCGAGGCCCGGCAGACACAGCCAAGGGTCTAAACTGAAATATCAGAGACACTATAGTTGATTTGACTCTCAAAGAACAGCTGCAAAAATTGATGAGCCGTCTTTAACGTAGACACATCAGGCGGTATTTCTCCTACTCAGCTGCTACCATAGATTTGTATAATTAACATATTAAAGTGATCAATAGAAAAGTTACTATTCAGAAATGATTCCTGTTATATAAGGCCATTAGTCATTCCATTACTGATTCATCCACACTGTATAAACACTGATGGGCGTGTGGTGGTAGAGGGTGTGTGTGTGTGTTTGTCGGGGCTGTGGCTGAAGCGGCTGTGTCTCTGCCAGGTGTTTCGGGAGCACGCCATTGATGGGGAGACACTGCCGCTGCTCACTGAGGAGCACCTGCTCAACACCCTGGGACTAAAGCTGGGGCCTGCGCTCAAGATCCGCTCACAGGTACACACACCACACACCTGCGCGTGTGTGTTGCAGTGTGTTAGAGTGGGGCTGAGTGTGTGTGTGTTTCTGTCTTTAGGAAAACTATTAGCATAGCATAGAATAGCTGATCCCTCCCCTTCTTAAACTCGCCTGCCCCTCAAACTGCAGCCTCTCTTCTTCTCTCTCTCCTTAATAAAGTAAAAATAACCAACATGAGGCCAAAAGAGCTGTTCTGACAGTCGTATGGTTCCTTCATCTCTACAGGTGGCGCGGCGTGTTGGCAGGCTCTTCTATATGACAGGATTTCCTCTGGCATTCCCGTTTCCACCTTCTGCCATGCTGCGCCCTCCGGACCGGGATCGAGACCCCCTGACCGCAGCATCTGACGCCCCTTTGACTCTCTCTCTGTCAATGCCGCACCGCCCAACCTCGACCAGCAGCAGCTCCTCTCCGTACAGCGGTCCAACCGCAGGATGCTCGTCTCCCAAACAGGAAAACGGCACAGGCTCTGCAGTGGTGGGAAGATACGAAGCTAAAACCCCCTCGTAGGAGCGATCCTGGCGGTGAGGGAACCAGATGCGCCTAAATCTGAGACATTTAAATTTTAAAATGATGGGGAATCAGGCTGGAGAGCAGATGACAGAGTCTGCAGTGGCTTTGAGAAGAGCAGAACCCAAAGAAACTGGGTTGGAAGGGAGAAATGCGAAGTGACAGAGGAAGGGAGGAAAGGGAGACAGCTGGTCACAGGCAGGCTGCCAAGAAAAAGAAGCTGAGTCCTGCAACAAGACGCGACATTCTTGCAAATAAGACTCCAGCAGAAACTCTTCTCTCCTTCCTGGGCACGAGGAATCTCTCCTCACTCACTTTTCTTTTTCCTCCAGTAGCCATCTCTGACTCTAGCTTTACCCTGCAGAGGCCAGGAATTAAAAGCAACATGACTCCCCTCCTTTCTTTCCTGCCTCCCAGACCATCTCCCTGAGGATAAGCAGCAGTCACCCTGTTTTTATTCAGGCTGGAGTTGAAGCCTGTGCTGAAAACAAAACAAAAAAAGCACCAGATCTGACCAGCTCCCTCTTGTATCACTGCAACTATGCATTCCACTGTCCTGATACCAAAGATGACCGGATATGTGGAAGAGGAACTCCCCATGTGTTGGTTTCTTTTTGCATTAATGGTCCCACAGGGAAATGCTAAAACTTGGGCTTGGTACGGCAGACCCTGAGGCAGAGCTGTAACAGTAACTGCATCTTAGTAAACACAAAAGTTATTTTATTCCAGTAAAATGCCATCCAGAAACTAAAAGTCATATTGTAACAGATTATATCTGATTGTATTGTTACAGCTTGACAAAACTTCATTTCTTTATAAACATGTTAGCTTACAGCTAATGAACCTCTCACCACCCTCACTAAAAAAACCAAATACATTTTCATTAATACAGAAACGTAGGCCTATTAATATGTGCAACCTTGTACTGTTCAGTTAATGTACCTGCTTGGGCTAATTCACAATGAACCCCTGCCATCACATTAAGGTGACCAGAGGTTCTGCCAAGTTATAGAAGTACTTTTTCCATTCTCTGGCTCAGGATTTGCTTAACCCTCTCAGGCTCAAATTAAGTTGTAGTTGCAGGAAAAAGTCAGATATTTGGAGAAAATGATCATATGGGGTACTTTTTTGAGAGAGACCTTCACATGCAATGAATTCTGGGATGTTGCAGATTTGCAACAGTGGCCCAGAGTGGTAAATTAACACTGAAGACTGAATCTGATATGAATGTTAACTTTATTTGAATGTCACAATCAAAAAATTAAAACAATAATCGAAAAAAAAAAAATTTCTCTCTAAAAATTAGAGACACATTTTTCTCAAACTTTTTTCCCACCAACATCTCAAAAACTCTTGTTAAGCTGTTGCTCAAAATATAGGCAAACTAGTAGATAAAGCATGTACCATCCATTGGTACCTGTTTGGGCACACGTTGCGAATCCACAACATTGAAATCGAGATGCCTCTGGTGAAAAACCGAGAGATAAAATCTGCTAATTGGCATGTGTCATATCTATACACATTCATGATTCATCTTATGTAGTATTTATTTCAAAATAATGGAAATTGGTTGTATACTTAAATGAAATTGGTGCTTAGAAAATCTCAGCCATGTTGAAAGTGAGTCAGCAGTGCTATCTAGTGGGCTGGAGAGAAACTGTTTGTTGCAAATGCACAACTAAGTCCTTCTGTTGTACTTCTGAGTAACAAAAACTCTTAAAATATGGATGTGGAGTAATTAGCTAAGTGGCATTTAGCTGTTGCAAATCTGCAACATCTGCCTGGAGAGGGTTAAATGCAGTGCTGTTATTTGTACAATTTCTTTCTTCCACCCAATTTTCCATGGTGTTGAGTAAAGCACTCTGAACTAGCAGAAACGACAGGCATACCCCTTCTTGTAAAGGAGGAATTATGGAGTTTCATTAGCTGTGAGTCAATCTGTTTGCGTCATGAATCGATGAGAGTTCCACTTTTTGAATTTATTTGAATGAATTAACTTTTGGATGGTTTATCTTGATGCACCTGTAGTGGACTGTTTAAGGCAGAGCGATTTGCCTCAGAGGGTGTCTGTCTACAATGTCAGTGTACACTTGTGTTGACTACTACGAAGTAGGACAAACATGCAAAATTGTACAGAATTGCGCTTGAGATGAAAATATTCTGGTGGTACTTACATTTTTTTTGTTAACGTAGTTGCACGACTAAGAATTTCTTTACTGACAAATGTGACTTGCTGAACTTTGGTGGTACTTTGGTTCATAATTTTCTTTAAAAAATATAAAAAAAAACGATGCTCCAATGCTAACCCAGCATATAAATACAAGGACAAAAATATTTATAGCATTTTGATGTAGTAGATAAAGCAGATTATGATATGTATTAAAATCAGCCCTTAAGATGGATTCCAAAGATACTTTTACTTTCTTTTCTCTTGGTTGCAGGGAAAAAAGGCACAAAGCTCTTAATGCAAATGTTTTGAATTTCTTATTGATTTTTTTTAAATATAAAAAGCAATGAATTAATAAAAAAAAATGTTCTCTAGATTTCCCTTCAGAAGTTTTGTTTTCATCCTATTTTTCTATTCACCACACAGGTGAAATAAATCCTAAAGAGAAACTCTGCTGCCTCTTGTGTGTTTGAAGCCTTTTTTTCTTCCCGGCGGTTGTGGTTCTTCCGTAAAAAATGTGCAGAATAGGAAGGAGGTATGTGGTCTCCTGTTGTGTGTGTGTAATGAGGAGGGGGGAGGTGACCCATGAGGGCCCAGGTCCAGGTCAACACCAGCTGTTGAAGTGTGAGGTTCAGCCGCAGGCCAAGGCCTCCCTGCCTGTGGGGGCAAACGTGTCCCTCCTCACACACACACATACACACAAACTACCACCATCTCAGCGCCTTGCTCACACTTACCTTCCTCCTTCAAAGCACCACGCTGTGTTAACTCTGATGGGACTTCCCTTTGCTTTAGGCGAGCTTCTGCTTCAGAAGCTTCACAGTGAAATCTACTGCAGAGGAAACGTGACGGGGAGTTGTTTAAATCAAATCTCCATTATGTGCTGTTTAATAACCCTGCAGTGAACACCTTTTGATGCCTCCATTATTTGTGCAAAATCATCTTCGTTTTAATGCTGAATTTTGGGGAAAGAATCCCAGAAGGGAAAGCCTGTAGGAGTGGAAATGTGGCGTCTGAGCAGATGAATGTGAAGAGATAGGAGACAGTGGTCCGGGCAGGGGGGTGGGAGGCTGGAGCTGGCGCAGAAACAGAACAGCCTGTGTTGCAGCTTCACCACCTGGGCAGAGTCTTGGCACAGCATCAGACACCGCTGCCATCCTGGCAAAGCGCCGTCGCCGCGGGGCTCAACACCCGCCTCGCCACACCCTTCCTCTTGCCCGGCTCAAAGCGTCCACATAACAGCTCCCTCTTTCTTAGCCTGAGGGGAACTACAGGTGAGGACATGTGCAGAGGATGCTTTTCTCCTTTTAGGTGCTTTACCATCCATCACACTGCAAGTGATTAAATCTTCTAGTTAAAAAAAAGGAGACAAAGTACGAAGATAAGGGTTCATAAATGTTTTCTTGGTTAATAAACTTACATCATGATCGTATCTTTTCTGTACACATGAAGCAATACAAAATTTTAAAATTTGAAAGTAGAACAACACTGTGGCTAGGTCAAACTCAGTCCTCATCAGACAGCTGCAGATCTTCCACCACGTCTTCCTCTCCCTCTGCCAGTTTTATCAGAGCGGCAGAGGACAGTGGCTGAGGAGCCTTGGAGGCATTTTCATCCTCCTCTTCATCATCGTCTTCGTCACCTGGAAGACAAAGACAAGACCTTTATTATCCCAAACATACTTAGCTTAACTCTCTACAATTGTGATACATTTGAAAGTTTTCTAAATAATTTCCCATTTCTGACACCATGTATTTGGAATCAATACCCTGTGGGGTGCAGTGAATTGCTACGTTTAAGGACGCATAAATACTTTGTTTACCCTCAGTTCTTCAGCCAGTATTATGGTTAATACAAAGATTAATGATGTAGAACATTTAGTAAAACACAAAACCTGGTCAAACATGACATTTTCCAACACATTGGTGAGATTTAGTTGACAAAAGCCCTGCTAATATGTAATATTTAAAAGTAAATGATGTCTACCAAGATATAAATTTAGGTTATTCACGAGTGTGACAGTAATTGTGCAGACTGCTCAAGTGCCTCTTTCACAATTAAGTGTTCCAGTGTTTAAATGGATAAAGGCTCCATTAGACTGATCACTTTAAAAATACCATCTAGGTTGGCAGACATGAATGCGCTTAGCGCTGGCTGGGACATCTCAGACCTATAGGTAAATTCACAGTTATTTGGTTCCTAAAAGTAGCTTTAGGCAGAGATTTAGTTCATTGCAGGATAAGTTTAACATCTGTGGGGGACTATGCACTGGAACGAGTAAAAAGCTTTAACGCTAAACATCCTTAGATCCTGAATAACAGTGTCCTGTGGGATCTATAAGATTTAATATAGACCAAAAATAAATAAATGGGCTGGTTTTGGATAACTGCAGAATTCTAGGTTTCCAAATCGGTCTTTAGATACGCAAGGTTATTTGGAATCTAATAATTGTTTCTTACTGTACCCATACGTCCTTCTGTTTTCTCTACATTGGAGTTGTGTGCACTGACCTCCTGTCCAACACCCGTGATAGACAGGAATGGAGTGGGTGCAGTTGGTCAGTCTCACTGCTAATCCCGTATCAGAGCAATGTTCTAGGTCAGGGGTCTCAAACCGGTTCCAGAGAGGGCCGTATGGATCCAGGTTTTCTTTCCAACCGGGCAATGGCACACCAGACTCCATCTCTTCAACTGAGTGCAATCTGAACATGACGACTTGACGAGATGAATCGAGTCTGGTGTGCCATTGCTTGGTTGGAAAGAAAACCTAGATCCACACGACCCTTTCTGGAACCGGTTTGAGACCCCTGCTCTAGTTAGTCTAATTTGCTGATAAGCCAGTCATCATCATGAGCCAGGAAATCTAGTGATCCCAAAAAAGCATTCCCTCCTAATTAATTTCCAACATCCTCCGGCAGAGCCAAGGCATCCATATAGATATGAGGTGTCATAACAGTATTTAGATGTGTTTAGCCATCAGTGTGAAAGCCTCACAACAGGGATGCATCGCTCTTGTGATCATTGGGAGGAGAAATGTGAATGTCAGAAAAAGCTTAGATATTTCAAACACTTATTTAGAATTTAAGCTGGTTTATGAACCTTTTTTATTCAGTTATGGCTTTACAGTGTGAGCATATATCAAACTGTGCTTTCTGATCTAATAGTTAATCTACAATTTAAGTTTCCTATGAAGTAAAATTAAATGTCAGAATTATGAGGCGACCTGGTGGTGCTGTATGCCAACAGATGACCTGTACTGTATCTGGTCTGTCACAAAAATCATTTGAAGTGTCAAAAGGACCAGTAACCTCTGCTGCTCAACTATCACCACAAACTCTCAAGCCAAGAACTGCTTCCTGTCCGACTTCAAAATAAAGGCATATTTCTACTTTCCTAAGTTAGACTGTTATATAGCTTGGAGGTGACTTCTACACTCAAATCAGCTGACCAAGATACAGAGAGACAACGGCTAATCACATCTAAGGACACAAAAATTTATAATGGCTATGTTATTAATGGCGGTAAATGTAGCTCATCTGGTAGAAAACTTTCTGTCATTTTGTCTCCAAATAATAATAATTTAACTTTATTAAAGGAGAAGTTCGGTTTTTTACACTTTAAGCCCATTTTCTGTAGTGTCCAGGATGAAATCGAATGAAGGACACCAAAATTATGACAATTGCTCCTGTCTCTGCTTTTTGGCTCATTTAGAATCAACCCCTGGCTGCTTTAGAATGGCTAGCATAGAGCATGTCCGATAATGTCCTTAAAACAACCTTAAACGTTCTTTTTTTAAAACATGCTACTCACCGGGTCGTCAGCGCTGTTCAATGACGTTCCAAAAAAAGTTTCGTGAAGAAAAAAAGTTCCTGTAGTGTTTTATTTAGCATTTTGTAAATCCCATTGAGTTCTGTAGGAATAGTCAATATTCCGCTGCCACCGGAAACGGAAATGGGGCCTGTTTACACAGTTGTAGTCTTTTCGCTTCACTCTGCGTACTCCGACGTCGAGGTGCTAACGTCTCTGTTAAACACTTTAAAAAACTCTGAAAATGGAATACGAAAGGTGGATTCTTGATTCTCGACGTCGGAGCACACAGAGTGAAGCGAAAAGACTACAACTGTGTAAACAGGCCCCATTTCCGTTTCCGGTGGCAGCGGAATATTGACTATTCCTACAGAACTCAATGGGATTTACAAAATGCTAAATAAAACACTACAGGAACGTTTTTTCTTCACGAAACTTTTTTTGGAACGTCATTGAACAGCGCTGACGACACGGTGAGTAGCATATTTTAAAAAAAGAACGTTTAAGGTTGTTTTAAGGACATTATCGGACATGCTCTATGCTAGCCATTCTAAAGCAGCCAGGGGGTGATTCTAAATGAGCCAAAAAGCAGAGACAGGAGCAATTGTCAAAATTTTGGTGTCCTTCATTCGATTTCATACTGGACACTACAGAAAATGGGCTTAAAGTGTAAAAAACCGAACTTCTCCTTTAATCTGACACAGGAGAAATTCACCTCTGCTTCTAACCCATCCCTTTGGGGAGCAGTGGGCTGCCACTGTGCTGCGCCCGGGGAGCAATGTGGGTTAAAGGTCTTGCTCAGGGACCCAGAGTACAGGCTGTGGGGATTGAACCCGGTACTTGCAACCTTCTCAGAGCAAAACACACTGCTCTAACCACTAGGTCACCCCAATGATTATATCAAGGCATCAACTACAGAAACTTGGAAACACCCTGAGTAAACCTGTTATTATCGAGACATAACAGCCACATGATAATTCCCTTTAATTGATTTTTTTAGCATGTTAACATGAACTGAAACCTTAGCAAACTGGAGTAATAGGTCAGGATCAGCTCTACTGCATGTAAATGTCAGAATCCTATGTTCTGTTCACTATACAAAGGAATTGATCTTTTAATTTTTGTTTTTCCCCTGAAAACCTTCTCATAACATTGCTTTAATACATAATGCAGTTAAGATTCATCAGTTTTTTTTATTTCCATTTCTGTTTGATATATTTTTACAATTTCTATTTTAGTTCTAATTGCAGATATAAGTTGTGTTTGACCATGGAGACATCGGAAACACAATGTAGACACAATATTATATATATAATATATGTAAGGTTGTGGGCTAAAGATGGCCGCCCTCAATCTGCATTGTGTTTGAGTCCCACTCAGCTCGTAGGAGTCCCAATAAAAGTGTCTTTAATGATTCTGCTAAAAAAATAAATTTTCAATTTTTGGGTTCCTCCATAATTACGTATGGAAATGAAAGGCTTTTTTTTTTAAATCTATAGTTTTTATATAATGTATTCATTTGATTTTTACATATATTTATGAAGTGGTTAACTAAGTAAATATACAAAGTTTAGTTGTTTATTTTATTGATGAGGAACAAACATTTGTCTAAAATGAACAGTTTTAATTATAAAGAAAAATAT